CCCAGAACGTCCGCAAAGCGAGAAAAATCAACTATAAAAATAAATTTTTCCCAGCCCAAATACGACCCCCCCCCTTTTGGCGGCCTCATACGACCCCCCCCATAGGGAATCCCCATCGAACGCTGTGCCCTGGGTGATGCCCTTCGTATACCTGGCAGAAATCGTTGGTCTCGTCCATCGTCGTTTGTTCGTTTGTTTCGGCCACAGTGCAGGCGAACATAAAAGAAGTCGCACGAAAGTCGCGTCACGGGGAGCGCTTGCACCACACATGATTTTCATTAAGTACTACAGTACAGTAGTAGTAGGCAGTTGGCAGTTTGTAAGTACAGTAGTAGTAGGCAGTTGGCACGATGGTTTCCTACTTAGCCTAAAATGCTAGTAGGGCGCTGTATAGTGGGGAAATGGCGAAAGAACGGAGTGAAACGGTCAAAATCCGGCGAAGAAAAAGCCTCCGTTCTCAGTGACTTGTAAATCGATTTCGGACGAGTTTCCCGTACGCATCTTGCCAATCACCGCTACCGAAGATACGGCTGCATATGTGTACCCATATATGCATGCAGCATCACCGCCGCTTCATACCAATCCCTTTGCTTCATAATTTGCTCAGCAAATGAATGAATACGAGCGTCAGAAACGGTCGTCCGTTTGTGGGCGGGCGGGCAAGGAAGGCGTTTGGGACGTAAAGTTGTTGCTCAATAGGGCGTTATAGAGGTACACCCCTTGGGAAAGGCTTCACGCAGCGCCTGTCCGAGGTCACGGAATACTGCTGAGCCGGTTGTACAAATCCTACACCTGTATAGCGATTTATCGTGCCAACTGCCTTTAATTCAACTTCAATTTCAGATGGTTCCATGTGCCAATCAATTTGAAATCCATCCTCACTTCACTCGTGAAAAACTACGGAAATATTGTAAAAAGGAAGGCATCTTTGTACAGGTTTGCTTTTTTCGCAATGCGGTTTCCCTACTCTGACAAATCGGTCGATCGTGGAACAAAGACCAGCTTTATCGTTGGATAGAAAGAAACACCATTAAGGCCAACAAGGAAAATCTGCGCCCTCAATTTCTCCTATATCTCAATTCAGGCGTTTGCTTCACTTGCTCGTATGGCTCCGCAGCTCGTCCAGGAGCCGCTTATTATTAAAACGGCGAAGAAGTACAATACCAATGTTGCGGGTAAAGATGCATTCGAGCTTCTCTATGTGCATACGTAGTCCATCATTTAGTATGGTAGATATGATTTGGATTTTAGGCCATACTTCTCGCTTGGGCGCGCTGTCAAGGTATTGGAGTCATACCGAAGTCCACACTGGAGAATGAGCTGAAGGCAAACATTGAGGTTTGATCAATTCTGATGATGCATGCTCATATCGGACCTTCTCTTACTCTGAGGCCCGCAAACCGTCGAATCTAATTGAATCGTATCGTAGAAATCGTGAACTCCTCTCTCCCCACAGCTTGTCTCAGCCGTCGGAAATTTTACATAATGCTAAAGATTATGGCTCATTCCAGATGACGAAGTTGAATTTGAGTCAAGAAGAGATTGAATCTATATCAAATCTGAATTTAAACAAGAATTACATCGAATGTTGTGGATGGTGTGTCACGTAATGCGACCTTTGAACAGACAAAATAAAGGAATGTCAATTATAATCGCCTGTGAAATTGAATAACAGTAATCGTTTACATTGCTCTTGTCGCGTAACTCCAATATCCTCCGCTTATCCTTGTGCCACTGTTGATTTGAATCGGACACAGAACCCACCCCGGACAGTTGATTGGCCAGATTACACTCGATACTGATGCAAGCCATAGCCCGACAGCCACGCCCATTTCTCGACGCAGCATTGGTGTCTAATTTCAATCTTTTTAGTTTTATTTTCTTTAAATTTCTACATTTTTCGTCGTACGAATGGATAACTTTGGAGTTAGTCGGGAAAATGTCAGGAAGAGCGGCATGAGCCCGCCTCTAGCTGCTTTGCTCCACCAGTGGGGATCGGTTAGGCAGCGTTCAGACTTCGCGACGGCAGCGCTTCGGTCGCGCGTTCGGCGCGATCGATGCGCATGCTTTCTACTGCATCGATCGCGTCGAACGCGCGATCGAAGCGCGAAGTCTGAACGCTGCCTTAGTGATCGATTGTGGCGCAAGGAAGGGCGTGTCGGGGAAGAGTTTTTCGAATAGCCGCTAAGACCGTGGACTCACTTGGATTTCATCCTTTTGATAGAGGGCCGTTTTCGTTTCACTATCCTAAGATCCGAGCTTTCTCCTATGTAGAATTCCAAGCATGATGCAAAATCTTGAGAAGTTTCATATTTACAAGAAAGCAGGAAGAAATTTGATGCACAATGAAACTCAGGGATAATGTACTTGTGCATTTTTTGCTGTACAGGTTTTACATGATAATTTTATCTCGTTACTATAGTTTGTCTTCGCCCTATAAAAAGCCCTGTACAACTACGAAATGTTCTATTGGTACTGAATGGATACGATTCTGCGAACAACTCAGTAGTCCCAGCTTTAAATAATAGTAATACGTACACTGCTTTTATAATATCGAACAATCTACATAGCATTAATAGTGCATTATAATGGATGACAATAACAAAAGTGAAGAACTGAGTAGCAGAAAAAAGGTAAAGAAGGGAAATTTCAGAGTGCAGTTCATATCTGAGGGCATTACAAGGCGTGGCTGCGGAAGAAGCCTTTGCTCAGACGAGAAAGATTCAAAGGGGTTTGTTTCAAAGAGGAGAGTGAGCACGGGAAAGCCGTCGCTGAGACGCCCCTTCTCATCGCTGAGACGCCCCTTCTCAAAGTCTGGTATGGAGACTGGTATATGTACAACGTATGTGATTCTACACGTCACTTGGGAACGGATATTGTGGATATCATGTTGTTGCCAAGTGTTGGAGGAGCTGGATACTTCCGTGCTGTTGGATTTGTGTTTGAACCATCAGGTCGAGAATGGTTGCTCATGGTGCACCGTGCTGGTATTTTTCGACGACAATACTGCTTTAACCTGAAATATTGGTTCATACAACACATAAGGCTCATGCCAGGTTGGCGATGGGCACGAGAAATTATAATTTGCCGCGAAACGTGGAAATCATCGCACATTTATTTGAATTTTTCCATATCTCCAATTTTCCGCATTTTTGACCTTTTCCTACACGGACTATTGCTGTCATGGCTGAGGATGTGGAGTCACAACAGCTTACGACTGGCACACTTCGGTAACAATCTTTCCTGTCCCTTTAATATTCAAATTCGAATGGCCGAGCAAGAGCGCTCGTCTCTCGCGGCGCTGCGTCGCTCATAACGACTGCCAGCGCGGCAAATTACAGCTCTCTTGTCACGCACCCACTAGGCGGATTGCGGTGCTTCCGATCGGTTGATAAGCGACTTAGAAAGCGTGAGCGCTATTTCTTCTCAGTCAGTCTGCGTTCATAATTTGCAACCCACCTTTTCGTGAGATTAATCATTTCTAAGCGAATGGCGTTTTGGGAGCAGGGTACAGCATCGTGATGTGTGAAATGGTGGGTAGGTACGACCCCTCCACCTGAATGAGAGTCTCGGTACGACTCCCCCTTTCCCCAACACCTACCTACCGACTTCCATTTTCCAGTTTTTCCAAAATATTTCCGTCGAGGGGGAAGAGGGGAGGGGGTACATGCTACACATGAAACAGGAAAAATCACGCGAAAAGTCAACAACCGCGGAATTTTCTCCCATCGCGGAAAATTTCTCTCGAAGAAACACGACCCTTACGACCCCTTCGCCTCTCCCAACAACGAGAGCAAATACGACCTCCCCCAGCGTGTTTCATACAAGGATGCTGTTCCTGCTTGGGAGTGTCATCGTCAAAGGCGTCGATCGGAGCCTATGCTTCCCTTTCCGTACAAAACGCTGATCCGCGCAAGACGCTGTTACTCTCTAAACATCGAGGTGTCAGGTACGAACACAGCCTCACAAAAGTTCAAATAGTTGCTGTGACATTCGACTGGTGGTAATTAAAAGTGGCCTTATATGGACTAGAGAGCAGGGTGTCGTCATCAGACTTTGTCTATTGTTGTCTGTTGTTGTTGCCTGCTGTTTGTCACCATATGGTCTCCCTATGGTACCGTATGACGCAGGTCACCTTCTGAAGACTAACAATTTCCGTGACCAAAAGAGTACCTAGTTCCACAAAAGAGCCACGATGGCGGGGTACGTCGGATGCTGGGAAATTTCTGATGGAGAAATAGTATTTGGTCGGCGGAGGGAGGGAGGCTCGTAACTGACCTAAGAAAAACTCTTTGATTCTCTTTTTCCTACCCCCCCCCCAACCCGCTGAACGGGAAAACTCAGGAGTAGTGCGCAAGACGACAGGTGGTTTGTGAAAGGGGTCGTACGCGATAAGCAGGTAGGGTCGTATTCTGAAAAATTCTTCACTGCCAGTACGTGCCAAGTGTTCGATGTCAGCTGCAGAACAGCAGTCTGGCCAACTTGCCGCGCGGGAGCGCATGTTGCTGTCAGTTGGTTTCATGGTGTAATTTTGAGTGACTTCTGTGTCCCATGTCGTACCGCTTCTGGCACTGCCCGTTTCGTGTACCTTCGACTCATTGAATAATTCGCCCATACTACGCTCCGCTAGTTATAGAGTGCGCGGCGCGTGATGTAGGCCTGGAGAGGGAATCCCAACAATATGCTGAGCCACAGTGGCAGTACTTTATGGGGCCGCGGAATCGTATAGTGCGCTTATATTTCGCGATTCGATGTTATGTCGCGACTCTTGCGCGTCCAACGTCAATCGGTCGCTAGCGTCGATCGCGCAGCCATAGCGGCCGAATCGCCAAGTATGAACGCATTCTCACGGTTTTGAGTAGCAACCGCACTTTTCAAGTTTTGTTTAGCTTCGTGGTACTTGATCAGTTTTTAAAAAATTGAAAAATGCTGTGAAACGAAGAGAAGTCCGCGAACAAACCTCTTGATTTGATGTAATGTAAACAAAAGCGTTGGCAGATGAATTCACTGTCACACACATTGAAATGACAATGAAATACTCGACTCCTCTGGTTCCTATCAGCACAGGAAACACTCGGAACGTTACCCAAGCTGAGAGGTAGAAGATGGAGATTGCACAGAATTGTAGTGCGTATCTGAAACCAAACTCGTCTTGAGTATGCTGATCTGCTGCGGAACGGAAATGCTGTTTTTACCTGTACTCCTTCAGTCGATTCTTGCTCCCCACCGCTCCTTTGCCATAGAGATGGGTCATCTTGTACACATAGAAAATTATCTGAAACGTTTTTTCAATATTTTTGTTTCGAATTCGTCATTTTATGCTCGATCGCAGATAGCGCTTACATAAGAGTAGCACACAGCACAGATTGATGACGAGGAGATGTTCAACGGTAGATCGACATAGCTGTTAGAGTAGTTAATCACACCGTCTATGGCTGTATATGAATAAGAGAGGACCTCTTGATCGAAGCTGAATCTGAAATGCAGTTCTGTGAGAGCCTTCCCGGCACTGTTCGGCTTAGTAGGGGCACGAAACGGAACACAGGAAGGCTTATGCAGCCACCTTTTAAAGAATGAGTGAATTCCGTAACCATGCAGGTCTCACCAAAGTGAAACTCGTTAGTTAGCATGAGTTTGCAAAAATAAGGATAAAAAAAGGATAAAGTCTTCGCCGTTGATCAATCCCTTTGTGGGATGCGGCACGCATTCTACTTCCATTCAGAATCGTAGTGGCTTATTGAATGCGATGTGGCCTATACAATGACTTGCGGTGGCCAGCCGATGTACAAGTCAGTGTTTTATCCTCCCAGACGAATCTGGTACCAATTTACCGTCCCCGGAGGGTAGAAGGCTTGGTTGGCCTAGGCGGGAGTCGACCCGGGATTTGAACCCAGTACCGGAGTGGTGGGCGCGCCACTTACCTTCACCTGCTGCCCAATCCCCCCTGAGCCGAACAGAGCCGCCACTGCTTACCCAAGGGGAGCAATTCAAACAGATTTTGCGCCGCTCATTTGCAGTCACAAAAAGTCCCGTAATGAATGAGCAGCAGTCTAATTGCCGTCCTTTCTTGGGTATAGAGCGCATTCCAAACTGCAGAGACGGACGCGACAGTGCGCGTATCCAACAGCAAGAGCAATAGTTTTTTTGCCATGATTTGCAAAATAAGTTTCTACTTTATTTCCGGACATTCCTTTCCAATACTGTTACTGTTATTCATCAGGAGGATGAACACTCTATTGTTACTAGGAACGTCACTATTGGGTATCCCCAGCGAAGCAGGAGGTGGTATTTGAACGCGTACCAGATTTGAGTGGGGTCGTACTTGCCCCTGAAGTTTGAGTGGGGTCGTACTTGCCCCTGAAGAAGTCTTCGATGATGACATTTCCTCTGACTTGACTTTTGACTTCTTGTGCCTGTGAGCTATACCCCTCTTACCCTTATCCGCTCGACAGCACTTTTCTGACAATAAGTGAAACTGAATAAGCGGTGAGCTTTGGAAAACTTGGAAAACTCTGGAAAAATGGTAGGAAGTTCGCAGAATTCAGGAATCTGGTCTGATTGGGAAGAGGGTCGTACTAGAGAAGGAAATCCTGTGTGAAGGGGAAAAGTCTGTAAAAACTGTCCCTAATAGCAAAAAGAACCCTTTCCAAAATTCTTTCTAACGTGTGGTACGGAAAGAACGTCACCACTTCTACTACATCTTAGGCCCGAAAAGGTTCTCCATAAAAATGATGGTGTGCTGAATAAAGTGCTTCGTAAGGTCGTGTTTGTCGGTCTGTTTTCTTGTCCGCCCACAAAATTTCTCTTTATATTACCTAATGAATCACAAGAGAAGAAAACAGTAGAGCTAGTGAACTAGACCTTATCGAGCTTTCCCATAGGGATGGAACGATAGACGGCGCCTTCAACGTCAAGCCTCTATAGCTCAGTGGCAGAGCGTCTGTCTCGTAAACAGAAGGTCTGCGGTTCAATCCCGCATGGAGGCAATGTTTTGCAACTTTAGCCCTCTGTTCATGAAGGAGGCGCAACTAGTCATCCTGCAATCATTTGGTCACTGCGCATTAACGCCGTAGTGCGCGATCCGAAAGTTATAAAGTGAAGCCTGCAATCGTTTCCTCAAGAAGGTGTTCTCTTTCAGAGTGGACTGCGTGCATGTGACGTGTGGCATTTTCTGAATGGGGAGGGGGGGGGGGGAGCGCACTAGACTTGTTTGTTGAATTACATCGATTTTTAATGGATAATACATAGACAAATGAACTTACTTGCAACAAGGCGTGATGTGTTGAGAAAACCATGCTGTAAAAATTGCCACAGGGCAAAGTATGATGACAAAAATTGAGACGTTTCTCAAAGAGAATATCGAATTTGCCGGAAAGCAAACCACAACCAAGCTGAAAGGATCTTCAAGTATGATGGCTCTCAAATGGCAGGATAGTCTATAATGCTGAGGATACCGATTGACAGCCATTAATATCTGAGCAACCGAGCCATAGTACCAACAAAAGAGGAATACATCACTCAAAAATTCTACTGCAGAGCTGTGTCGACCGCCTCTGAACAACCAATCCTGAAATATTAATCACACGTATTTATACACTCATTTACTGGTATTATTAAAACAGTTGGAACGTCCGCTTCCCACTGGAAAAACTGCTATAAAGTAAGAGTCCGCGAATATTTTTGCCACAGCCTGCTATCTACACAGCCCAAATTTATTGGATCATCCTACTCAGAAAAAGTGGAGACATATAGAGAAACGGCAAGAAAGCAAACGGGCTACGGCTGTTGGCTTCTATACCATTTTCACTCTTAAATTCACCCTTTTTCAAACCAAATTCACCCTTTTTCAAACCAAATTCACCCTTTTTCAAACCAAATTCACCCTTTTTCAAACCAAATTCACCCCTTTTCAAACCAAATTCACCCTCACTTTTCACATCAAATTAACCACACTTATTAGGGCGGGCAACTCATCAACCAGATCACGCCAGACATCACTGCGAGCCCCGCCCCGACGGCCACGCCCACTTGTCAGCGCGGACATAGATTCTCAAATCTTGTTTCATAACTTCTGCTTTTGCTGTTTCCCACAAACACTTTGACTGGAAACGACCGGGCATTGACACATGGCCGACTCCGCCCATTCTCTAAAGGGTTTGGCAATCTAGGCTGACCACGCCCACTTGCTTTTCGCGGACTTTCGATATTTTTTCAAAATTTTTGCATTTTAGGGCTGCTGCGTGAAGCCCCGCCCAGAGGCTCCGCCCTTTTGAAGAAGCCCCGCCCACTTTTCAAAAATGGTGCAAATCGGCAGTATAGAGCCTTGGCTTGCATGCTAGGGTATTGCTGATCATTCGGAATAAACTTTGCCGGATTTTCTTGTTCCGAGTGACGAACGAGACCCTAGCATGCAAGCCAAGTCTCTATACTGCCGATTGCACCATTTTGAAAAGTGGGCGGGGCTTCTTCAAAGTGGGCGGAGCCTCTCACAGTGGGCGGGGCTTCACGCAGCAGCCCTAAAATGCAAAAATTTTGAAAAAATATCGAAAGTCCGCGAAAAGCAAGTGGGCGTGGTCAGCCTAGATTGCCAAACCCTTTAGAGAATGGGCGGAGTCGGCCATGTGTCAATGCCCGGTCGTTTCCAGTCAAAGTGTTTGTGGGAAACAGCAAAAGCAGAAGTTATGAAACAAGATTTGAGAATCTATGTCCGCGCTGACAAGTGGGCGTGGCCGTCGGGCGGGGCTCGCAGTGATGTCTGGCGTGATCTGCTTGATGAGTTGCCCGCCCTTATAAGTGTGGTTAATTTGATGTGAAAAGTGAGGGTGAATTTGGTTTGAAAAGGGGTGAATTTAAAGTGAAAATGGTATATATCGTTAAAAAGCTGATACTTTTAGCTATGTGAGCGTTAGATTCCGCTGACCTAGCTCTCGAGAAATCGAAAAGAAACCTAGTGGTAAAAACAAGCGCCGGATTATGGAATCGGGCGTCATGAGAGGAAAGTGCGCTGCTCAAATTCATTCTGGGCCGGACCAATAGTTGTACATAATGGTGTTCTCCGGATGGAATAAGGAAGATTCGTTTCAGAAGTCTAAACAAGGACGAGCGAAAAAAAAGTTGTGGCTGAAGAGGGCCTCACGTTCAGGAGTCCGTGTGTTTTGGCAACTCACTTTCTTATAGAAGTTTGAACGCAGAGCCGATTCTATGAATGAAGCAGCGATGTCCATCGCCTTAGATGTCATTCATGAGAGTAAAAACGCACCCCGGCCTTCGATGAAATATGGGTTGAAATATGGGCCGAAACATACAGCCGTCAATTTTTTATGAATGTATTATGACAAGCCAACCGAATTCTGGCATGGCAGTTGCGTGGGCCCAAGCAAGTGATCATCATGACAACAGATGCATCGCGGCTTTCTGACGGCTCCATACAGAGAGCAAGATCGTCCATGTCGCTGTGTCCGTGCAATTTCACCTGCACTGGTCAGTCGAAGGTATTGTTAACGGCAAACGCTATGACTTTTTGGCATACCAATTGGGATCAACAGCAATTTACTCACACTTGCTGGAATAACGAAGGGGCAGGTGTGGACCAAACGCTCCAAGCGCACTGGAAGCGAGCGGGCCATAGATAAAAGAGGGATCTACTTCACGTGAAGCCGAAATATTACTTTTTGTATATGATATCCTCTTTGATTTGTGTGAATAAAACCTATGTTTTTGAATGGATGACCTTATATTTTCATAACTTCTCTGCAAATAACGTTCTATATAATAATTATAATAATTATCAATATACAGGGGGGGGGGCCAAAAAAAAGTCATTTCGGCCGAGCCACATATCAACGAAGTTTTCGCAGCCCAGACAGGGGAAGTGGATATGAGTACCAGAGTGGAAGATACCCAAGATCTTCCTCTATAAGCTGGAGCACGGCTGCCGCCAATCGCCTTCATGTACGCCAAAATATGAAGTCATCTCCAGTCGCGGCCTGACTGGAGAACACCTTTGGAATTCACGTCGCCTCCAAACAGCTGCGAAACTTCTTGAATGAAGTCATCCACAGATAGCTACCTGGAGGTCAGTACTCTTGATCTGCAAGACCTCCCACATCGAGCAGCTACGGCAACGTCGCTACGGTCTAGGACATCATCTTCACCGTATTCGCCGAGGCGCGAGTTGATGGTATGGACCGGGGTACCTGGAAAGGGAAGACCGATATTTTCTTTGTAGACCCCGACTGAAGGTGAGCGCTGGCGGTTACATCAAGTAACTCGAGAAGATATCCTCCCTACATGTGGTCGCCCGTACCTTCTTGGAGACCTTGTGCTGCTACAGGTTTGGGTGCCACCACATGGAATCAAAGGGTTTTGGAAAAACTCCCGCCTACTTCGAATGGAAGGGCGTTTCGTACCTGAAGAAGATGTAATATTGAAGTATGTCCCCTGACCTGAATCCACTCAGTTACCTAGTCGGGCGGAGTTCAAGAGGGTGGTCTACGGTGGCGGAGAAATCAACGATCTCGCTCAACTCCGGTACCCACTCACTTTCGCGCGGCCGAATCTCTCGATGGCGCTCCTCCAGAAGGCTGTGGCGGAGTATCATTATAGTATTTAATGTGCTCTTTAATATGGTAGTAAAAATGTCCGATAAAAAAGTGTAACTTATAGCGCCTTGAAAGTCATGGAGGCAAAATGACTTTTTTTTGGCCCCCCCTGTAGTATAGTACACTGTTGTGACTTTTTTCTCTTTTTATTTTCTAACTCAATATACAGTGGGAATTAGTCAACAATATACTCGTCATAGTTAGCCACTACAGCGCTCCACCCAATGGACAGGTAAGCATTCCCCTCCTCCCAGAACTGAGAAGGCTGCGAGTAGAGTCAGCGCCCTCTCGACTGATGTCATCAAAATTGCTGAAAGTTTTCTTAGCTAAGAAAGCCTAAGGAGGCGGAGCAGGTAGCAGTCGTAGGGGACTACGTCAGGAGAATATGATAAGCGGGGACTGGTCTCCCAGCCTTGCTCCTCAATTATTTGGTAGGTCTCCATAGCAGGTATGGGGTCTCGCGTACTACGAAAGAGGTGCCCCGAAGCTAGTCTCGGTCATTTTTCTCCAACAATTTCCACGGGTTTCTGGAGCTGCGATACAAATAGTAGCGGTGACGTAAACTCATATGACTTCTTTACTGCTTCTGGGACGCGAAGAGAATGCTTGTGTGCAGCATTCCCTTCGCGTCCCAGAAGCAGTAAAGAAGAACCTTCTCGGAACCATGCCCGGTTTGGACTGCTAGGATGGGTCTTCTCCTTGAGAGAGACACACGGTACTGTGTGAGTTGAAATCACAGAGGACCCATCTCTCATGTGCACTCTCCTTAAAACTCCTTCTGACAAGGGCGGAGAAGGGGAGACTCACCAAGGGGTACCCAGGTGCACAGCCTGCCATCGGTCAAGGTATGGGTGATCCATCGAGCCAGTACTTTTTGGTAGTCAAGGGCTTACAGGCGGTGGACGACTGTCAGTTAGGTACATCCGAGTCTTGTCGCAAGACTGCGGGTGGTAGCCTCCGGATCCTCCTTGACAGCTTCGAGAACGGTGGAGCCTTTCACTTCGTTGAGGCCCGACCGAGGTTTTCTTTGAGGATCGTATCTCCTTTCGCGAATTGAGCGAACCAAAAGTGAACGGTCCTGATGGTAGTGGTGTCCTCCGCCAATGCACTGTTGATGTCGCACACAGCCGCCGTGACTCCAGTGCCGCAGGGCCACCGGTAGAAGATGAGGACGCGAAGATGCTCCTGTGAAACTAAAATCGTAATTAGACCCAGGAAAGAGCAGGCGCCCTCTCACACCTCTTGCACGAAAGCTCTCAGAATGTTCTACAAGCATGGCATATTACCTCATGCTCAAGCATCGAGAATCAAAAATTGTAAGCTTTTAAAGGAAACACTGACAGGACTTTCCTTCCAACCTATAGTATAGTATCAGTCACAGTACATATTTAAATAGGTAAAAGTTATTGTTTTTGGTTTGCAGTTTTTTATTAGGAGCAAAGTCAAACATACGTCGAATATGATTGACGGTGTGAGGTAGAAGAGTGCCAGTAGAAGCTGAATTAAATCGCACAGCATATTAGCAAGCGATATAACATAGATCGGACTTCTCTTCTTGAATACAGCCAACTTCATCACAGCAAATAAAACGACGGTGGTGAGTACGATCCCACCAATGGTGGAGACACCGAGGAGAACTCCTAGCCAAAGTTTCAATTTCATCTGAAAATGTACAATTTAGTATTTATAAGAATGAACGCTATCGTTGCCATAAGGAGAAGTGATGGTGGGGCACAGAGAAGTAATGGTGTTATACAGGGATCAACAAGGAATCATATCTCAGCTCGAGTACCGCCCACGGCAACAATGCCTTCCATCGAAGCAGAGGCAGAGGCTTGCCAAGGGGATTCATTGTGCGAGGTCAGAC